TGGGCGAGCAGCCTCCGCAGCTGCACCACGAAGAGTCCAACCACCTGCCCCATGTAAGGACAGTCGCTGTGCCCGCAATACATCCGCACACCCGAAGTTGTCAGACGGTGTACCCCCCCGATCGACACAACAAGATAACCGAAGGGGAATAACTCACCTAAGGGACTACGACCCTTCGTTTGCTGTCCATCACCACAAGGTAACTCTTGTAATTTCATGCTTATTGACTGCATTGCGTTTAACGCACCATTCGTTCTGGCTCACAGTTTGTTAAAGAAGTCGACAGTCATTTGCTTTAGGACTAGAGCTTTGTCCACCGCCTTAGTTATTTTTATTGGTCCTTGTTGAGTTCTGTAACTACTCTATTCAGAGATTCTAAATGAATGCAAGATTTTGCGATGTGCTCTCCGCCAAATAAATTTGGTGGGTTAGAGCAACTTCCTGCAATAGATGTATCTTCCAACGTTTCTCTTGCGTATGTGCATTTGCAGAATCTAAAGCATGTGACATCTAACTGCCCTGTTACCTGCAGTCCTGATAAAAGCCCATTTTTTCAATCCTCTACCGGTGATGGTCTATACAATATCTTTCATTACAGCCCATGGACAGGATAGTTTAGAAATATTGGCATTTACAAAACAAGTGTAAACAAGCAACTTCTGAGTGATGCCTTCATTGACCTCCTTTCTTAGCTCTCTACTAACGGAGGGGTAATTACAATTAAAAACTACTGATATTGCGTGAAGTGTCGTGCAGTTGTCTTGTTTACCCCAAGGCCTTCGTATGAAACAACAATGTAGTGCGGTCTTGCATGCTTAGGCTCTTTTGGCTTAGTCACTTTTCTTATCCTCCCCCGGGATTGGAGCTTGGGCGCAGCATTCCTTGCAGTCCATTACTCCTATAGTAAGCCGGTATCTGTATCAGAAAGAATTCGCTGCTTATTTTGCCTACAATCACTTTCATCCATTTTCGAAATTCCACCCACATCATGTGATCGCATGGTCTTCGAAAAAAGCCTTTCCAAATGCTCAAAGATGTTTCACGTCTAAAAGCCATTGCTCTAGACTAAACCACAGCCCGTTTTTCCGGGTATTGCATCAGGCTGTTTGAATTTCGGTCCGGTTATAATTGATATTCACTTTCTTTTGCTGTTCGCTCCTGCCTCCAGTTTCCAAATGCGGACCGGTCTACTTCCGTTCCGGACGTAAGCACAAATTCGGATGCTGGCCAGCCCAACGACCTGCTGATGACTGCATCGTTGACCGAGCAGGAGGCAACGAGTAACGCCCGAACCGGAGCAGGCTCACCGCATACTCCCGGCTTGGGACGGGAGAATCTGCGCAGCAAGAAGAGTGTCAGTTTTAGCGGCAACATGCATGCTTTCGGTCCACTGGGGCCTGTGCCCTACACGGTCACAGCCAGCCCGACAAGAACCGTCACGTCTCTGCGTTATCATTCTCCCGATGCCAGAGGTAGACTACCACTGTTTACTAAATGCAAGGCTAGATATTTTTTGTCCACTGTCTCACTGACTCATTTTATTGAATACTCAGCGATTTAAATTCATTGGCGGACACTTCAGCCCTTGTCCCATTTTGAGTTTCGAAACTATCATTGATAGAAAAAGACCACTTAGGAAGTGGTTGCGCAAACGATTTTGAACAGAATATGCCACCCATCAAAGAGCGCACGGTGTATTATTTTTCTTTCTTAAGTCTATGCTAAAGTTCGATGCGTCAGTCACATTTACCCTGCACCGGTCCTTCACAGTTCATTTGTATAGGATTCTAATGCCTCATATGGATATTCATTCTGGAAGTGAAGTAGGACATCCT